GGGGGGGGGGGGGGGGGGGGGGGGGGGGGGGGGGGGGGGGGGGGGGGGGGGGGTTGGTATCCCCTGCAACGGGTTCTGTGTTCATCTCACTTGATGCCGGCTGCCCACTCGTCCTTGTCGATCCGAAACAACACCCGCTCCTCCTCCCCGCCCAACAGGTCCTCGATGTCGAGGGCCTCCCCTGCCTCCGCGCCGCTACCGCCGCGCTTCCCGCCCCTGCGGGGCACCCGTAGCCTGCGGTCAGACAGCACCTCAACGCGGTCCTCGGAGACGGCCGCGATGTTCCCGGTCAACAGGCGGACGTGGTCAAGCCCCCCCACCCCCCGCCGCGCCCCCCGACGCCTACCCTGACCCTGCGCGCTCACGCACACCATGTCTCCCACCGACAGCGACAGGTCCTTCAAGGGCTTCGCCCACCGGGGCCGCTCGACGCAGGCGGCGGGGGTGCCGCTGTTGCCGTCGCCGTTGTCCTCCCCCGGCGGCGCAGCGGTCGCTGCTGCCGCCACAGCCGCCTCCATCCCCGCCGCAGCAGCGGCGCTCATCCCAATACCCCCACCGGGGACTTGTCCGCCGCAGCCGCTAACGCGTCCGCCAGCGGCAGCGGCGATCCCCTCCGGTACCGCCCATTCTCTTGAAAAGACGTGCGTGAAGCGCTTGCTGCCGGTGTTGGACGCGCCTCCGACGGCAGCCGCTGTCACCGCCGCCGCCTCTCCCGCCGCCTCGAACCCGAAGCCTTCGTCCCGTTCCCGCTCTCCCAGCCACACCAGGCCGGACATGCACTTCTGGGTGCGGGATTCTCGCTCGGGGCCGCTCTCCTGCCACATCGTCCGCCTCACCTAAAGATGTCAGCAAGGACCAGATGTGCCGATACAAAACAGAAGTGTACATATTTCAAGTGTGATCATGCAAAATCGAATGCAAAAAATCGGAGTATACACTGAATCTTCCAGGTATCACAAATCGTCTGCCTCACCTATTGACGGTAGCGAGAAGGATCAGACATACAGAGGTGTATTGGTTTTACGTATGGTCGTACGAAATCCTATTAAGATAACCGTGAAGATCTTCATTCGGGATCGCTCTCGTTAAAAGCACATCTGCTGCTGCTGCAACGGTCGGTTAATATCTCGCCTGCTCTCCGATCTTAGCCTCCAGGTCGATTGTCCGGTCCCAGCGAGAGAAGAAGGCCAAATGTGCCTCGTTCAGGTGACCCACCTGAAGGCAGAGAAAAATAAGAAACAACAGGTATCAATACAGCACCTCGATTACATAGTTGACACCGTTGACAGAGCGAGAAAAAACAGATCGAAAATACAATGGTATAGCTGTATGACCAAACGTGCCTTACATATTTTTCAAATCGATCTCCTCCACAGAGACAGAGTCTTACAACTCTATTGGTTTATTAGTTCTGTAAATGGAAAAGAACATTTACCTCGGCAAAGAGAGGGTACGCGACCACACAACACACCTTGCTGTCGAACACCCCCGGCTCGAGCCCACTGCTATCCGCATCGCCCCCTTCCGCCGCACGGTGGTACAACATACACTCCGAGTTCTGGAAGCACATCCCGCACTCCCTCGGCCTCCGTATCACGGGGGGCAGGGTCGCCCCCCCTCCTCCGCCGCCGCCCCCATCCGCGTCTCCCCCTACCAGGCCGACGCGCCCGATCTCCGCCATGCCCGTGGCCAGGCGGTTGCGGGCGAGGATAAGGGCTCGGATTTCGGCCGCCGCGGGCGATACGAGCTCTGAGGTTAGGCCGGCGGAGGCATGAAAACGGGGAGGGGGGGGGGGGGG